TGTGAATATTTACAACTGTTTGTCCTACACAGGATCAAACTAGCGATCTCCAGCCATTCACCACTGGGATCCCTAAACCTCTTTCTTGTTAGATCCTTTCTTTACTCAAGCAATCTAACGAGGTTTCACCTCCAGCTTCCTAGCTGGAATAATATTCACAAATCCTAAGAACTGGCTGAATTTACACTACACCACAGAGCCTCAACTGACTCTGCCCCTCAGGGTTTCATTCCCCTGACTGAACTATTATCCCAGAGTCCCCTTTGACTCTGTCCTTCAGGGTCTCATCCGCCTGACTGATTTTAAACTGTCGTTTTCAAACCTTTCCTACTTAAGCTCCGCCCACCTCCTCTGGCCTATCACCATGGCAACCTATCTCTCTCAGCTAGGTCATGGCTACAATGTAAAGCATAAACACAGTTTAAAACACAGTTATAATAAACACTTCTCTACAACGATATTGATCAATTCCCGTTTCTTGTGGTGACTGGCAGGGGGAAGGGACTTCAGTTGGCAACAATGGGAGATCTCCCTTTCCCCAAATGGTCTAGTATTCAATGTCAGGTATTTTTTCTAGTAATCTACTAAAGCTATGATCATGTCAAGCCCTGAGAAATTAGAATGAATTTTCAAATTTGAGGTTATGCTTTAGTTAGTTTTGATTTATCTTAATTAGCATAATGCACTGAACATCATTCTTATATTTTCAACATGGCTTCCCTCAGAACTTGAAGAATCTAGACAGAAATGCCCACCAGGCTGGTACAAATTTGCCCACACGTACTTGATTTGGGACTGTTCCAGTGCTTGGATAGAAGTAAAGAAAGTTGTTTATTTCATTGTGATGGACCCATTTGTCGATCTTGGCATTACCATCTGCATTGTGGCAAACACTGTGTTTATGGCTTTGGAACATTATCCGAGTGATCAAGCTTTCAGCGATGTTCTTAAAAATGGAAACTTGGTGAGTTGATGTTTATATTGAATGATTTTCTCTAACTAATAAACTCAGAAGTTTTTGTTCAAGATCAGAAAATCTATCCTTTCAGAAATGAATGCCTCTCTGCATTCATTTACATGTGGTATAGTGGTACATTTTCAGCTGCAAATATCCATTACGACAGTCTTCACAGCCATGCTTCTGATGAAAGAGAAGTGAAAATGCACATGTACAGATTGCAGTACCTAATTTATTAAACCACTTCACAGTCATAGAATTCACAACCAAGGCATCCTAAATGTCTTCATACTACAACTAAAATGGCTCTCAACACTTATTATAGGGGAGATCTTGCTTCTCTTGCTGCATTTGTAAAAATAACATGAAAGTCTAAGAGCAAGATAGATGACATAATTGTCTCTGCCATCAAAAACATCTCACAACTCTGAGCATGCAAGTGTTACTCTGCTTCTGTCCTGCACATGAAGCCACCTTGTCCACCACCAGATCATCTGGCTTTCATGTATTCACAGAATGGGTAGACTGGTTCCATCCCTGATATTACTGCCTGTTCAGTTGGGAAAATGTACAGATTTCCTCTGCTTTATAGCAGTTCACAGTTAAAAAGAGTGACTTTTTAGCAAACAGTTTTCATGGCATCTGTCTTGTCTTTTATTGAATAATACAAGCTTTCCCATTAACATACCAATTTTCAGATCATATTCTATTCCCAGATGATGGCTCAGTTTGGATTACTGCAATGTGTTGTATGTGGGATCTGCCTTTGGAAAGTGTTCAGAAACATCCACTGGTCCAAGAGACTAGAGTCAGACCAGAACTAGCTACAAGGACAATACAGCCTTTTTTGTTACAGTGGCTCCACTAGTCTATTTCCATTAACAATTCAAAGTTCTGGCTGTGAGCTAAAGAGGCTTATGTAACTTGAGTGCAAGTTATCAGAAGGATAACATTCTCCCATATGATTTTTTTGGGTTCTGAGACCTTCAGAATGGCTCTTTCTGTCAGTCCCAGGAATCTCAGAGGCACATCTGGAGAAGGCCTTTTTGGTGGTTGTTCCTAGGCACTGGAAAGCTTCTCACTTACTTAATTGATCAGGAATAAACTATTCCAGACCCGTCTTGATGAACTCTGGGTCTTCAGCTACACTGATAATTTAATGTAGATCAAACTGCATTATATAGTCAGTGTAGATGAGGCTTGGGAGTACCCCCAGAGCCCTTTGGGGGTTCAGACAGCTGGCCAGTCCTAGAGTATATTGGGGCCACTTCGTCTACAACCACTGCTTTGCTGCTGGCCACAAACAGCTGCCTTGCAGAGTCTTGCTGGTGATGTTGCTTTTCCTGATCACATTGCAGGACACCAGGAGCAATGTTGCAAATAAGCCTCTATGAAGGAGCTGCTTGTGGCTGATGACACAGTGCTGGTCTTTGAACACAGTATGTAAACAATGGATTGGTGTCCAAAACACCAAGATCATTTCAGAGCTTCCTGGAAGCTCTGGAACACATCCCTTTTTTCAATGCACCAGATTAATGGCTGAACCCAACACTTCTACTGTGAATACAATCTTGCAGATTCCTCAAGTAAATGAGAAGTGAATGCACATTATTTGGCCTGTGTAGATGCAGCATCTCTTTGCTATCCTTCTGTTGACATGCAAAGTTCATTTTATTCTGGCAGGTTGCCAGCTGCTGATTGACCATTTTAATAGTCAATCAAAAGTTGACAACCTGCCATAGTAAAATGAGTTTTACCTGGTAGCAGGTAAATATACATGCTTTTATTTCTTTTTAAAAGAAAATTATTTCATTCATTTTTGAATAGTATAGCTAATATAACTGCATGGTAGTGATGATAATATTTTATTTGCTTTTATCTATACTGAATTTGTTTTAGGCCTGTTCCACACAGCTGAATAAAATCCCACATTATCTGCTTTGAACTGGGATATACTGTATGATAGTGTGGACTCAGATATTCCAGTTCAAAGCAGATATTGTGCCATTTTCTGCCTTGATATTCTGGATTATATGGCTGTGTGGAAGGACTCTTGATCTTGTATGAATTCCACTTTAGTAGGAAATGTGCAGATTTATAGCCCATATTGGAACCAGACCTGGGTTTCAGCAATTGTATATTGGTTTTAAGCATTGCTTTGTTATCTTTTCTATTCACAGGCAACAAAATTTTTAAAGGTAGCAAAAAGTTGGTATAACCAAATACAGTGACTGATTGTAAAATGTTCTGTGCTCAGGTCTTCACTGGGATCTTCACTGCAGAAATGGTCCTGAAAATCATAGCGATGGATCCTTATTATTACTTCCAAGAAGGATGGAATATTTTTGATAGCATCATTGTCAGCCTGAGTTTGATGGAGCTAGGACTTTCAAATATAGATGGACTGTCAGTTCTAAGATCCTTCAGACTGGTAAATATGACACTACATCCTATTGCTGTTTGGACTGCTGGCTTGACTGGGGGTGGTGAGGGTACTTTGCTGCTTAGACATCCTTCTTCCAATTAGAGTATGGTGCCTAAATGGATTCAGGGCTTGCTAGAACCTCAGAGGTTCTGCCTGAGAGCTCTAAATCTCAAGTGTTATTACATTTAACAAAGTGTCCTTGGAGCTGCTATAACTCCATGTCGTCCATTAAAGTCTCACCAAGGATTTACCAGGAGGATGAGTAAACATTTAATAGACATCTGAATGAGAAATATAGGTGCACCATACCTTTTTTCAGAACAAGGATGGTGGGTTCCATTTCTCTCCCTTCACTGACTTATTCATCTGATGCAGATATTTTAGGTCCTACTCAATGGGGTTTTGGTAAAAAATAGAATGAAATTATTTCATGCCTTAGGAAGTCTGCAGCTGCTGGCAAAATATCTATAGTTCACTTTCATTGTTAGGAGGCAGGGATGTCGTTTTTTTTTAAAAAAAAAAACTGTGCTTCATGGATTAGAGGGCCCCTTACAGTGAGTAACAGGAGATGGACAGAATCCTGCTGCAGGTACCTAAGAAGTTGTGGTAAATATAAAGAAGGGATATGCCCTCATTGATCCCTCACTATTTTGCAGATTTGCAGATAAGAGACCCTATCAGCTGAAGATATAAACATATTCTCTACTACTGTAGTAGAGAATATGTTTATATCTTCAGCTGGTAGGGTCTCTTATTTGGTAATTATGATTCAAATTAGAACCCACTGGCTGCTTAGAGGAAACAAAATGCTGGAGGTTGGACTGGTTTAGACTACCTTTATTTTGGGAAATGGCCAAAAATCTCTAGAGGCAACAGTGAGTTTTGAACCCAATTTAGAAATCTTTCTGCTCTAGAACGCAACTGCATTCCTCATGCTGAGTAAACTGAAGCTAGCTAACCCAAGAAAGTGTCATTACTTCATTTGTAGCAGAAAGACATCATATGTTTCTTTTAATCATTTTCCAGAATTATTCCCAGTTAATTCTTGCCTATAAGTCTGGGACATTACTGTGAACTCTTAACCTCAATATAATTTTTCCTTCCTCTTAAGAAAAGAGAATAACTTATATGATACCCTGACTACCCATGTGCAGCTCTAATAAATGAAAGGCCAGCTTTCTAAAAGGAATGGGAGTTGAACCTGTAACTTCCTTAGCAAGTAATACAATGAAACCTCAACATACGAGTGACCCAACTTGCGGGTTTTTTGAAATGTGAAGTGTCATTCAGCTTTTTGCTTAGAGTCATGAGCTAACGCAAGAGGTAGAGCAAGAGCATGCCACCTGCCATCTTAACCAGGGTTTCAAGGGAAAGCGTCTTACTCTTTGTCTGCTTTCCCTCACCCTTTGTGGGGGATTTCATGGAAAAAAGGATGGCCGGGGCTTTTGCTTGCAGCGTCATCACCACCAGGAGGGAGGTCGCCAGAGGCCCAGGGCAGTAGTAGTGCCACCGCTGCCGCATCCTTTGACCACGAAGCAACAAGGTGGCCGAGTGGGGGCTTCTCAAGGAGCAGGATCAGTGCTTCCTCTCCCTTCAACCTTCCTAGCAGCCTTAGTGCTGAAGCAGAGACTCTGATTTGTGATCAACTATGTTGGCGCTATTGGTCTATATATGTTTTCACCATGTTGAGTAACTTTAGGGCCTCTGCAGTGGGGAAAGAATGATGGGAGTTGGAGTCTTACAAGCCTCAAGAGGACTTGTGATACATTGGTTGCCATCTTGCCTGGTGCAAGGCTTTTATGTGGACTCTATGAGCATGCGAGTGCATGTTGCCTCTTTTTCCCATCAAGGCATAGGGCACATGAAGGAGTTCAAGGGAGGGAGGGAGAGAAACAGACAGCTGGGGATGTGGTTGGTGAGGAGAGCCAGATCGCCAGATCAGAGAGAGGCAGGCAGGCAGGGCAGCTATGGAGGGAAGGAGAAAGACGTGAGAGAAGCAGCCAGCAGTGATGGCACCTCACTAAGGAACGAAGAACGAACGGACACCCGCAAGCCGGGTGGAACAAAGAAGGGTTCCATGCAGGGAACTCTGGGCCTAGCCTTTCTGGTTGTGCTTTCAAGTCTTCCTTTCAAGTGGATTTCACAGGGCTGGTGTTTGCCAGTTCCTTTCTCTGAAATATTGCCAACTCCTGCAACTGGGACCATTGTGCAATATCACATCCAAGTCCAAACTAGGGCTGATCCGATTTGGAATTGGATCCAAGATTCAAGATCAGGATAAAAAAGAGAACTAAGATGATGGAAGAAGCAGAGAATCTGCAAGGAGGGAGGCATTGATCGATAAGGAGAAAAAGCACAGATGACCTTCCATCAGTTTCTGTCTATTTGATATGGAAAGGTGATTATTTTTGTTTTCCTAAAAGTACATTTTATACATTTTTTTGTTAATTATAAAGTACATTTTTTCTTACTTAAAAACACATAACCCAAAAATGGTGTGGTTTTCAGGGAGGTCGGGGAGAGAGATGGATTAACAGCATTTCAATAAATTTCAATGTGAAAATTTGCATTGAGATAAAAATGATTTGAGTTAAGAGCTCGGCCATGGAACGATTTTAACTCTTAAGTCAAGGTATCGCTGTACTTAGGAAAGCCTGCAATACTACTATTACTTCTACTTCTACCAACCTTCCTCATCCCCTTCGCCTTTTTCTTCTCCTACTTCAGCACCATAGCAATAGGCCAGTGATAGGAGACCAACTCCCTTACAGATTACATGTAGCATGCATTCTATAATACTTTACAATTGTCTATATCTGCTGCATCTTACATGAATTGTCAAAAACATCTGGTGATCACTTGTCTGTCTTTGCAGTACCCAGTCCTATCAGTAAGAGAGCACAATATGATTGAAATCAAAGTTTTCTGACTACTCAGTTGCTTAAACTCTTCACTCTTTCTTATACTGTATACATATTTATGTTTATAATTGTCATTATGGTTTTCAGCTTCGAGTGTTCAAGCTGGCAAAATCTTGGCCCACTCTCAACATGCTAATCAAGATTATTGGGAACTCAGTGGGTGCTCTGGGAAATCTGACCTTGGTCCTTGCCATCATTGTCTTCATTTTTGCCGTGGTTGGAATGCAGTTGTTTGGCAAACAATACGAGTCTTGTAAGTGCAAGATTTCAACTGACTGTACTCTTCCACGGTGGCACATGAATGATTTCTACCACTCTTTCTTGATCGTATTCCGAGTGCTTTGTGGAGAATGGATAGAAACCATGTGGGACTGTATGGAGGTTGCAGGTCAAGCTATGTGTCTCGTTGTCTTCATGATGGTGATGGTGATTGGAAACCTTGTGGTATGTCATTTCAGCTTTTATCTTATATAATGCTGGTTGGCTTAAATGTATTATCCGCCTGTCGTAAATGGGGATAATATAAATGTGTTCATTTATAAGGACCATATTCCACATGTTATTATGCCAATGCCACACAGAGCAATTAATAAGTAGAACTTTTTGACATTTATTTTGCAGAATCAAAACCTGTTGGGTTGCTTCCCCCAATATGGCACTCTCCAGATGTGTTAGTTTACTATTTTCCATCATCTTAAAACAGCATGGTTCATGGCTGTGCTACCTTAGAGAAAATGATGGTTATAGTCCAACACACTTGGAGGAGACCATGTTGGGAACACAGCCATAGGAGATTTCATGAGCTATTAGTGACAAATGTCTGTGCTGACAAGATTCCCTTATTCTCAACAGTAGGCTTTTGGCAGGGATGTTTGTTGTATTGTTCATGTACAGCACCATGTATATCAATGGTGCTGTATACATTAGCATCATTTTTGTGTATTTTCTATAATCAAAAAAGTTTCTATTTGTGGTATTAAGGTTGTTAAATTTCCAGTTGTGTTTGTGCCGTTGTGGTGAGAAAGATGGCACTGCCTATCTTGCTAATACTTGTTTTTAATAACAGTAAGAAGATATTTATTTCTTTTCAATCTCATTAGCCAAATTACTATTATATAGGGATGGAGTGAGGGTGGGAAGAGGAAGAGAATCTATTAATGAAAGTCTGGTGAGTCTTGGAAAAATTAAGGTTCCCACCCTGAACTATAGCATCTTCTCCAAAAGACAACAAAAACAAGGGAAGTATGCCACCTGGGTGTTATTTATGTGTGTAAATAGGTCTGCTAATAGAGGGGCCCACTAGTTCAGGTATTTTTTAATAGCTCAGCAGGTAGATAGTCTTCCCCTGGGGCTTTATTGATCTTTAAGTTGTTTATGATACATCTGATCTCATATTCTGTTACTGGAGGCCAATGGGATACGGCTTCTATAGGTAAATCTTTTAACTGGAGGCTGCGTCACTGTGGGTTATGATGGAGCAAACAAGTGGGTATAGTAATTTTCCCAGTCCTCTGTGGGGATAGGTATATTAAATGCAAATTTCCTTTCCTTCAAAATTCCAGTTACTGCATGCCAAAAGATAGCCGAGTTATTACTCTTAACTGTAGGGTGATGCAGATATCTGAAGTGGTTTGGGATTGTGTAATAGCTGGTCTATTTTAACCATTGTTTTAACCTTCTTCCTTAACTTCTGTGGTATGAAGCTTTACCTTGGCACTTTAATGATGATGATGATGATATTTTAATTATCTTTAACTTTTAACTTAATCAATTTTTAAATGTGTTTTAATATATGTTCACTATTCCAGGAGTTTTAGGATAGTGATTAGTGTCTATTTGCATATTTTCTTGTTTTTGTCTTTTACTGTTGATATCGTCAGTGGACTAATCAATAAACTTTACTACATATGCCACCTAGTGACTGAAGATATTAATTCAATCTTGATATATATTTTAATTAAAAATTAAGTAATCTTGAGATTTGTCCTTATTAAGTTCTCTTAGTATCTCTGTCAGATTTCAGGTGACTCGATTTCATTGTTTCAGACATAAACTTACGGAGATAAATGTTTTCTTTTATTATGGTAGATATCCTGAAATTAAAATGTGAATGTATGTATTCAGTTGATAATTACTGGTCTATATATTACAATTGAACCTTTTGAAAACGAACTGATTGAGTTCTTTGTCTTCCCAGGTACTAAATCTCTTCCTGGCCTTATTATTGAGCTCTTTTAGTTCAGACAGCCTTGCTGCTCCTGAACAGGAAACTGAAGTCAACAATCTCCAGATTGCTGTGGCGAGGATTCGAAGAGGAATAAGCATCGTAAAAAGAAAAATAATTGAATTTATTCAAATTACCATTTTGCAAAAATGTAAACCATCCACCAGAGTTGATTCAACTGATGTGCAAAACAACATGCAAGGCGGGTGCATTCCCAATCACACTGTAGCAGAAATCAACAAAGCTCTGGATTATTGCATTGAGAAAACAGCTAGTAGTATCATTTACATGGACAGCTCCGATCATATGTCATTCATCAATAATCCAAATCTCACTGTGACAGTACCAATAGCTGTGGGAGAGTCAGATTTTGAACACATAAATACAGAGGAACTTAGCAGTATATCTGAACTTGAAGAAAGTAAAGAGGTAAGATGTAAAATTATTTTATTGAACTCTTCTACCAAGGTTTATGCACTTTACTCATTGTTCTTTTTATTTGTCTGTATCATTCAATGTATGTGCATTAATATTTTTAAAACATGATCTCTCACTAGTCTGGGTATTTTTTTTCCTACAAGTCTGTTGACTTACAATATTGAAAGTGACAGAAATAGAAAATAGTGTAGTATGGGTTTATTCATTAACAAATTGGCCATAGCATATCTCTGGACATTGCTGGACTCAGGTCACAGGGTTACTCCTAATGAAAGGAAACTCAATAGCCATGAATATGTATTTTTGCACAGGAAAGTAGCCCTGGAGATGTGAGGTGGTGCTGGAAAGATGTCAAAAACTTAATGAAGTAATTCTGAAGAAATGAAATATGCCTTTCAAATGCCCAGATTTGTAGAAACACAACAAATGGAAATGGACCAGCTGGAGTCATTCGTATCAGTCAATGGGAATAATTCAATTTGGGTAGAGGAATTAATAGCCCTCCAGATGTTGGAGAGCATTTGCTGACAATTGGCTGTTGTGGTTGGGAACAAAAATAATTAGAGACCAACATCACTTCAACCTGGTTGTCTGCATAAGTCTCCTCTTCTTCCCATCAGGCTGCTTATCTTTCATGTGGCCATTGTGAGGAAGTACAACTGTATGTCAGTTGTATTTTATTTTGTCTTGTTTCTTTTAGCAGAGCAATTCAGTCTTTAATCTAATTGTTAGTCCCAAATAGAGTAGACCTATTAAATCAATCAGATGTTTATATATGCTGACATGCTAGGTTTCCATTAATGCAAAGGTCTGTTCTATTTGAACTCACTAATTAGGTTTACTGTGGCCCATCATGTTTAACCTTATAGTGAGCACCACCCTGAAAATAATGCATACATACATTCACCCTTGATACTGAACTAACTTAACACTCTAGCTTGCTATTGAGATAATTAATATTGTGCTAACTGTCAAAAACAGAAAAGTGGAATATGTAAATGGAAAAAATTAAACATACATATTAATATAGCTTTCTTTTATTGTATTTGAATACAGTATGGACCCCTGTATATATGAAGGATTTGTTGTAGGATTTGAGTAGGTGAAACTGATGGTATCAATCTCATGGGTATAGGGATCATACTGTATTCATAATGTATACGTATGTTTTCAAGCTATTATGATGTTTTCTTATTGTCACCGACTTGCTAATGTAGACATTCAATAATATTTTTGTACTTGTGTTCGTGGTTTTTCCAAAACTCACAACAAAGTAGTATTTGTCTTTTCAATATCATTTCCTACCACTTTTACTTCTCACAGGACTAAAATCAAGCTGGACAAACCAAGAGTGCAGCTCTGGTGCTTTTTAACCAGGCAGATCAACGTGTGTCAGCCCTTTTGAACAGGTTACTTCAACAAATCATACATACATGGTCACTGTTGAATCAAAATTGATTGGCGTGCATGCTATCAAGCTATGGTGTATGCCACCTTCATCCATCACAGTACCAGTAAAAACCAAACTGTAATTTGAGTCCCATGGCCCATATTACAGCACGATAAGGGCCAGTCCCCCACGTTCACTTTGTTGGGTGATTTTTTTTTACATAGCATTTTAATATGTTAATTGCATGATCTGTGGATACACATTGTCTTGGACTGTCAAGTTGCAAGAGAGCTCTAGTTTATCAAGAGTAAGCTACAGGTTTTTTTTTAAAAAAATCAGTGAATTACATTTTTTTACCTTTGAAAAACACAGCTCACTAGAATGTTGGAATAAATATAATGTTGTCCAGTTATAAAGTTATATTTACATTACTTAATTAATATATGATGCAAAATTCATGTAGGCTTATTGGAAGTAACTCCTAGAGCTGTGCAAGATGCATTCATAAATCATGAGTATATTGGCAAAATTCATACTTACGACTTTACTTATGAACCCAGAGAAATTTGTAACTTGGGCTTACAGCAAGGCATCACTACTCCCTTTCCTAGAGCAAAAGGTCTTATGATGGCCCTGATTCTGAGTAAGGCAGCCAGGCTTCTCTGTAACCAAAGCTCTTGGAAGCATATGCAGTGATCACATCCTGGATTACAACAACAAAAACAACAACAACCATGAACATCTTTGCAGTGATGGCAGAGGGCATATTGTGAACAGTGGGCATGTAACATTTTGGCTTGTTGCAGATGTAGCAAAAGGGCAGTATCTTAACTTGAATGAGAAATGAAGAATAGTTTATACAATTCTTCCTACATCTAGTTCTCCTTCCTTTTCCTCAACATGAATTCTTTTTATCTTCTTTTGGTGGTCTTATATCTATAGCAGAGTGTTCAGCTGGCAACAACCTTAGGATGATTTCCTTGGCCACACTAAACTATCAAAAAGCAGTAAATGGGCTCCTTGCAGGCTTTATCTACCGCTGGTGCATTCACATCCACCAAGGATTATACTAGACAGGGAGGCGAGAATATCTACCGTGTTGCCATTGTGATGTGGCTAACATTTTTTTTTCCAATAACTTTGGAGAATTCTCACAAGAAGCTTGAAGGTCTCTGGCTGTATTTATATATATATATATATATATATATATATATATATATATATATATCTATAGATAGATAGATCTATAGGGTGGCACGGGGCATAAATAGAGGCAGCTCCTCACCAAACTCTCCTCCTACCATATATATATTATATATACTATGACTTAGGACAGAGTTTGGTGAGGAAGCTGCCTTAACTATTTTGCCCCAGTGCAATACAACCTCTATATATATATATATATATATATATATATATATATGGTAGGAGGCAGAGTTTGGTGAGGAAGCTGCCTTAACTATTTTGCACCAGTGCCACCACAACTTGGGAAAAGAAGGAAAATTTCAATATTTCTAATATTGCATTTTCAGGCATTGTTACTTTCTCTATGAGGTTTGTTTGAAATACATTATTTTGCGCTTTTATGGAGGAAAATCTATATAAATATTTTGGATAGATATTTCCCATCATCATCTATCAATTCCCCCCACCCCCCAAAGCCACCAGTATTGTAAGTTGGCTATGATGAGTATGTGCGCCAGGTTTGATACAGATCTATTGTTGGTGGCCATGTCATGACTTTCAGGTTGTGGGTGGACTGTAACTCACATCATCCTCTATCAACCCCCCTAACCCCACCAATATGTTAAGTTGGTCATGATGGTATGTGCAGTAAGTTTGGTCCTGATCCATTACGTATGGCTATAATGTGGTTGTCTGGACTACAATTCCCATCATACTTTCTGAGTTTCCCCAAACCCTACCAGTGTTTTAAGTTAGATCATGATGAGTCTATGTACTATATTTGGTCCAGATCCATCAAGCCATCTCAGAGCCATCCAGGAACATACATATGTATATACAAACATATATACACACTTTCACTTTTGTAATAAATATAGATTACACAGCTTTATAAAAACTATAATCTATGATTATACACTAATGAAATAACAATATAAATGTTCATTATAAATTAACTATTGCTACAGGAGCTTATAACAACAAGAACATCATTTACTAAAAGAATGACGGGAGATATTTAACATAATTCAACAACTGAAATTAATTTGTATCATATTTATAAAAACACTGTTCAAATTTCACCACAATCTTCAGTTTATGGTGTATATTTTTATAACTAACCAAAATCCTCAAAAGGTAACAGAGTAGCAAGTAACATTTATCTTTGCTTAAGTGTGATAGCTTCTTTATTTGATTCCCCATGCAATCTTAAATCAGCTGGGCATCAAGCAAAACATGAAACGGAGTGAGGTAGCCCCACACAACCACATCTACACTGCATTGAAGTGCATTATGAGATTCTACGCTGCCCATCTTATGTAATTTGAAACTGTCCCTGTTCTATTGTTCTCACATGGAGGGCAGCAAATCTAAGTGGGAGAGTGTCCCCTATGTGCGCACGTGTGAAACACCCCAGGGTTTTTAACTAAAATAATTTGCTGTAATGAATTATTCAGGAAATATAGTGGTGTGAGGAAAGGGAAACTGGCTGTGTGGTTTCACTAGGGGAGTGCAGAAAGGTGCAAGCAATATTAAAATGACTGCCTCTACAATTTTTGTACAGTGTTTCAGTAAAAAATACAATTTTTGATGAAAATCCCTATAGGTAGATATATTTGCAAAACATATGTGTAAGTCCACCTTGCATGTACTGTATCAATATACCTATAAGGCTAAAACTCGGTTTAGGTCCAGGCTATTTGGCTGATTGCATGCCCTTTTACAAACCTCCTCAGGCCTTGAGATCTTCAGGAGAGGCCCTTCTCTATCTCAAGCTCAGTTGGTGGGAATGAGAGAGCAGGCCTTCTTGCTGGCTGCCCCTTGGCTCTGGAATTTCCTTCTTCCCAGGGATGACAGAATGGTCCCCTTCTTGCTGTGCTTCTGGCATCAGGCTAAAACCTTCTTATTCAGACTGGCTTTTGAAGATGAAAATGTTTAAGATCTAGTCAGGGGGTGCTGTGGTTTTTAATTTTAAACATAGTTTTGATGGATTGTAACTGTGATTTTTTTAGTGCTGTTTGTGTATAATCATGTTGAGGAGATCAAGCGGGGTATAATAATAATAATACTAATAATACTAATACTAATAATAATAATAATAATAACTCTATACTAATGAACTTTTTAAATCTTCTAACAGCCATTACAACTAGCATTACTACCTAATTACAGTGGCACTTCAAGTCATGCAGCCTTGTCAAGCACATCCAGTTGTTTTCGTTGCTGCTAACTTTTCATGGTCACTGATTTTGTTTAATTTTAGTTAGTGTTATGGTACAGTTTGATATAGGAGGAGGCCCAAGGGGGTAACTGAGTGACATCACCCCTAGTGATACCATTGGACTGGCAATTGCCAAGCCAGGGGGGGGGGGGTTAACCCTGCCCTGAAATAATGTGTCAGGTTAAAAAAGAAACCTGGTTTACTCATAACTTGGTTAACCAATTAAAATTCTTGAGTAAACCAAGTTGGGGGGGGAAGGATTAGAACTCCTACCCCCCCCCCCCCGAGCTATGGCCCTGAATTGGGATGATGGTCTTTGGGGGTTATCTGGTTGCTTAGAATATTGAGCAATGTCATGGCAAATCAATGATTGCACATTACAGAGAATATATAGATAACTGATTGGGCTTCTCCTCCCATGGGAAGTCTCTAACATTAGAAGAATACATCAAAGCAATTAACATATTTTTACATGATTTGACTGATGCCTTTCAAGTTCAGGATACTACAGTTTGTCTTGGAATTCTGCAAGTTAGAAATGCAGTGACAGCAGTTTCAATTATCCTAGACTGTTTTTGATGTGCTTTCATCATTCATTCATTCAACTGTGTACTGGTGCTCTCATTTTTTGATGTTATATACTGTATGATAATAACATTGTTGGTGGTTGGAGAATGCCATTATGAAAACTACTTTGACCTATTTTGGTACTCACACCTATCTGTTCTTCGTGCAATTCATATTGTTTATTGTGACTAACACGTTTTTTGGATGTGATCTAGTGGTTCAAACTGAATGATGTCAGATTGGAATAATTATGAACTCAAACTTTTCCATAGAATTAGAATCAATAGGTCTCTAAAAAGTGACCAGAGGTGGCTTGTGTACCAAAATAACAAATAGTTTTAAAATGCACAAAAATCTACACATCTATGCACTGGCAAAACAGAATGCAAAATTAAAGCTGTGGGAATGAAATGTATGTGCTGTTTTCATCAATACACTTTTTAAAAATGACTTTTATATCTGCTTCTTCTGTTGGCGTGGTGGCGGAATGATATATGTCTTGTAGTGGTGGCTCAATATTATATTAACTTTTTTGAAAAAGTGTGTGTGAGAGAGGGGGGGACTTTAGGAGCTCCATGAATTTTATAGGGTTTTCTAAGATACAGAATTTAAAAATGTCCCCATCCAGAAGTTCACTCTGGAATTTGCTGACAAGTTGTGATCTCATATGTGATATATAAACACAGTGTCCTTGATCCTATTATTATTTCCAACTTTGGGAGGAGACTCCCCACTAATCCCTGAATCCCTCCACACATCCTATGTTTTAATAAGTTATCATTTTTGACTGAACGCCATTTCAAAACATTTTCCAAGATATACAAAGCGTTCTCCCTCCTCAGTCACTTCTGTGCCTCCAAATTAGCTCTGTATTTAGTCTATAAATGATTGAATATGGAGGTACTCTTGGGAACAGATGGCCTGGTATGACCTGCAGGGTACCTGGGAGGTGAAATTGGACCTGTCAGCCACCCATTTGTTATCTATAGGAGAAGAAATTGCAATGGTCTGTTTCATCTACGTCCTTTGAGAACAACTGAAATCTTACTGCTGATTTCAGTGGTCTTTGGAAACCATCTGTTTCTGATACTGTCTCCTACATAAGTTTCAGATTCATATATGAAGAATATACTAGACTTAGCTGCAGACCAGGGATCCTCAAACTAAGGCCCGGGGGCTGGATACGGCCCTCCAAGATCATTTACCCAGCCTTCACTCAGGGTCAACCTAAGTTTGAAATGAAAGCACGCAAAAACAATCCTATCTCATCAGCCAAAAGCAGGCCCACACTTCCCATTGAAATACTTATAAGTTTATATTTCTTAAAATTGTTCTTCATTTTAATTATTGTATTGTTAAAGTGTTTTTTGCACTACAAATAAAATATGTGCAGCGTGCATAGGAATTCATTCATGTTTTTTTTCTTCAAATTATAATCTGGCTATCCAACAGTTTGAGGGACTGTGACCTGGCTCTCTGTTTAAAAAGTTTGAGGACCGCTGCTATAGACTAATGTCAGCAGTCAAGTGGAAACTGGTCACTTCCATATCTGTGGTATAGTGAATCCATTCTGGATTTTAGCCTGAATTTTGAAGGTGCTGAACCCCACTCCTGAATGGTTGAGTTTTTTGGTTGCCTCCTTTTAAGTTCAGGCTAAAATGCAGTGTTGATTCTTCTGTATGGAAGGCACCCACTACCTCTGATCAGTGTAATTTATTTGTTGGGGTATATGTCCGTCATCTCTCAGACTACTAGAGTTCCCAAGGAAATTTACAGCAAATAAACACGGATAAAACCAGTGAAAACATGTTTAAAAAGTAATCAACTGCAAGTCACAAAAATGGTTCATTGCCAGTCAACTCATAGGCACTGATTATGACCAAAATGTTCTTTGACATAAAGAAATGTAGAAAGTGGAAAAATAAAATGTGGACATTCATGCATTACTGATTAATTTAAACATTTTATTCAAAGTAGCACCAGCCTCTTTATGCACTCTGTTACTTAGCAAATAAAACTGAAATTCCATTTGGTAAGTACTAATGCAAACAAATTAGGGATGCACATGTTTCTCTTAAATACTTGTTCCTCAAAATTTTGGTTTGAAATGTAGAAATGTACCACAACTATATGCAAACATTTGTTTCAGCTTAGAATAAATATAGTTATACTTTGTTATTTCTATAAAATGCATTATGGTTTTTTATTTACAGATGCTCAGCACTTGTAGTTCCACTGAAGCTAGTACAGTTAATCTTGCTATACCTGGAGAAAATAAAGACGAATCTTCAGAAGAAGACACATCACAACCAAAGCCATGTTTTACTGAAGGTATTAAAAGGGGGGGGGGGTGGCAATATGATTCATTCAGCCCTTCACATTCACTGGAGTAATAGATACAAGGGTCCTGTAAAAATGAGGAAAAACGCAAGTAAAGACATTGCTTATTTTTACCCATAAGAAAAGCTCTGTAGGAATTTATGTGTCTTATAAAGCAGTTTAGACTCATATAATGTGGTTAAATTGCATTATGAAACCATATTATATGGTGTGTAGATGCAGCTATTTGCTGGGTATTCTCATGAGAATTATGTCTGCCCCATTTCTTTGGATGCTTAACCTGTATTTCTAAATGTTTTACTGAAGTTTTAAGTTACTGCCAAGTTAGAAATTTTGAGACTGAAGGAACATTTCATTTGGGGAGGCAGAAGTCTTGCTTGGAAGCTAATGCCCTCATCCCAACAACTACACCTATAAAATATAATTGTTAATTCCCAGGCAGATACCTTCCATTTGCATAACATCAGCTCTGGATTTAATTTGTGATGTGGGATTTGTCATATATATATATATATATATATATATATATATATATATATATATATATATCTGACATTCAAACTAAAATCTTTCTGCTTATATATATATATATATATATATATATATATATATATAAATAAAATCTGACATTCAAACTAAAATCTTTCTGCTTGTTAGGCTGTGTACGGAAATTCAAATGCTGTCAAGTCAATGTAGAATCTGGGAAAGGCAAATTCTGGTGGAACCTTCGGAAAACGTGCTACAGAATTGTGGAACACAACTGGTTTGAAACTTTCATTGTCTTCATGATTCTTCTTAGCAGTGGTGCTTTGGTAAGTCGTATGTGTGTATTATACTAATGGGAGTCCTAGAAATATCCATGGGCCCACAGATGATACCATAACAATACTGCCTCCCATAGCATACCCATATTCTCTTACTTGTGGACCCAATCCTGCTTACTTGGAAGCTAAACAGGATCAGGTTTACCACTAACAAACTCTAGGTGCTGGAACTTCTAGTGGGACAAAACAATAACATTTCCTGGAGGATTTAGGAAATTCCTAGAGAAGACATATTTTGTTGGATCCAAGTAGGTGAAACTGCAGGCACCAGTCCCATGGGTATAGAGTTGTACTATATTTAACTCTCTAATTTTCTTCTGTTGTCTTACTGGTTTCTTAAGAACCCTAACAGGAGATAAACAAAAGAGGAGGCAATGAACATCTTTGTTTTGTACCTCTTCACATTTCACATATTTTTGTTAACTTATCATTAACCATATTTGTGTCTTCTGTGAATAATAAAGAGAAATAGACCCTCTGAATATTGAGTTACTACTAATGTAAGATTCCATAGCTGTGCTGTAAAAGAACTACCAACAGGATTTAAGTTTGAGAGAGTTCAGTTGCAACCTTCTCCTCTTGATAGACTTTCCATAATCATTTATGCAAACAAAATTTTGAACTAAACAGACCAATGGTCTGTCTCTAATCTACTTACATTCCTTCCTCTTTATGTTTTTTAAAAGCCTAAATTAACTTGCCAGATATGGAAATAAAACCTAACCACTACTGAAAAAGAAAGAATGAACCAAGGGGTGGCTACTAACCTGTGTGGCTATGTTTCCTGTGGGTGATTATCTGTTGTAGGATTTCAAATCCAATAATTTTCACTGATAAATTTGGAATATAGTAATTGAAGGATGAACATAGTATTCCTAGGGAGATTTGCATTCAAGATGGAACAGTTACGTTACCTTCCAATAGTCGAAAGTAAAACCATGTCAGATCCATTCATTAATGTAGGCACATGGGAACCCACACAACTGTCCCAGTAATCCTGACTCAGATTTCTACATCTTCACTGCTAGTAATGGTGATGAAAGAATAAACTGTATGTGGATCTCTGGCAGGTTATCTGCTTTGAACTGGATTAAATGAGTCTACACTGCCATATTATCCAGTACATATCAGATAATCTGGATTTTTATGGCAGTGTAGAAGGGGCCTTTGAGAGGAGTGAAGAAGGAGTGAAAATGATTGTTGGGAATTTGCTCAGGAAGATGAGAACTTCCTTAAAGACTAAGGAAGGAGGCACAGATTGTGCAGCTCTGGGCTAAAACTGCCAAAATCAAGATGTGTGCAGAAATTGTGGGATCTTCATCTCAGTCATAGACACCAATTAGGATAAGATATGTATTCAGATATATTTGAAGAATTGTTGAAAAACATGTTTTTTAAGCATTGAAAAACTGATAAGGAGAATCCTAAACTGAAGGGAAAATGGCATTTCAAGAAGTATTTTTGCAAAATTCACAAATGGATGTTTTTGTGCCAAAATCATTTTCTGTGTAAGAAAAAACCTTATTTAATAGAATATAGTTTTAACACAGGAGTATTGACTGTATTTTAAAAATGTTGCTACTTTGCAGAAAGTGTTCCTTTTCTGTGAAAATCTCAACCATAAACAGATTTTATTCAGAGTAAATCTTTATCGCATCTGTTAAAATATCTAAAAAAGGTTATTTTCTAGGCAGGAAATGATGGCTTCTGCACAAAAAATCTTCATACAGGTTCATTGTTTGTCAAGCACATTCAAGATAAATGCCACAGTATACTACACTTGAGAGAGGTGATGCAAATGTGACAAAGAGTAGGTTTCTGTACAATATCAAGTACAGGCAGTCCCCAAGTTACAAACAAAATATGTTCTGTAGAGCTGTTATTAAGTTGAATTTGTTTGTAATTTGGAACAGGCACTTTTTAAAATGTAACTCCAGTCATATATGTGCTATATTAGCTTTGGATAGCATAGGGATGGGTTATCACCCCTATGGTGTTTGTTTTGTTGTCTGTGCACTCCTGTTCAGAAGATTTCACCTCACTTTCTGTACTTTCTGATCATTGGAGTTTGAAACAATTGGCTTGTTTTAGAAACAAGAATTGGTGATAAAAGTTTCAGTAAAGACACCTTTTTCCCATGAAAATTTTTCCAGGAGTGAATGCGGGGCAAATTCTCTCACTTCCTTTTGTCTCACCCCAGTTCTTAACTATAAGTCATTTGTAAGTCAGGTGTTTGTAACTCGGGGACTGCCTGTACTCTAAATGTAATTGAGATGAACATTGAATCAAAGTGTTGCCTTATATCAGCAAATGGGAACAAGTCAAGTTTTACTTTCCTTCCCCCTTCAGCTGGTGAGACCTTAACTATGGTAGTATTTTCTGCCACAGGCTTTTGAAGACATATATATTGAACAGCGTAAGACCATCAAGACCATATTGGAATATATGGACAAGGTCTTTACATATATCTTCATCCTGGAAATGCTTTTGAAGTGGGTGTCCTATGGTTTTCAAGTGTATTTCACCAATGCCTGGTGCTGGCTGGATTTTCTCATTGTTGATGTGAGTACTGATTTAGCTTAGCAACCTTTATTCCAGAACTGTACCAATGTAGTCTCCCAGCAGACTCTGCATTAAAAGAGGCATGGAGAACTACATTTCCTAGAATGCCTGGTCCTGGGGCAGGCTCTTTGGGTGTCATCATTGCTTTCTCGACTTGGGCGAGAATGTGGCCTCTGAAGCTTGGGCAGATGCGGGGTGTGTGTGTGTGTGTTTGTAATTAGGAAATGTACATAAGTCAAATGTTGGTAATTTGGGGACTGCCTGTATTTTATTCCTAACTTGTTTTCAGCACTCATTCTCCATTTTCTGTTCATCTCTTATATTGTTGTGGATTACAGAAGGAAGGAGAGTGATCTCTCTTGACATCTGAATCGGTTTCCCATTCTATAAATCATATGTGGCTGATAATTATTTATTTACGACATTTATATGCCACCCTTCTCACCCCGAAGGGGACTCAGAGCAGTTTACAAGATATATATGCCTACAATATATTATGCTATTATCATAGTACAATATCAGTATTAAATATTACTATGTTGTACTATACTATTATATTGTAATATTATTAGTAATATTGCATGTAATATGATAGCACAGGAGACAAGGTGGAACTGTCCCCTACCCCCCCCCCCTTCACTCTGGCCCGGAGAAGCAGTTGGTGCCGGGGGGAGGGGTCCCCAACTGATAGTGTGGATTCTCTGGATATTGAGTTAATCCATAATCTGGACTCCAGTGTGCCAATCCAACAGTACCTGGGACATGGGCCCTGTCTGAAAGGGCCTTCTGTTTTGTTTTATTTTTGATATTTTTCTTTTATTGTCTATGTTTTCTTTTTTAATTTATTGTCGTTGTTTAAATTGTATTTCTTATAGTTTTAAAATTATTTTAAATATAAACAAATAAAGTGATTTTTTTTTCAGTTCTGAAACTAACCATCACTATTTTTTGACTAGGTTTCCATAGTGAGTTTAATAGCTAATGCCTTGAATTATGCTGAACTCGGCCCTATAAAATCACTTCGGACCCTAAGAGCCTTGAGACCTCTAAGAGCCTTGTCAAGATTTGAAGGAATGAAGGTATGTATGACAATACTGGATAACAATTGAGTGTCCCATCCAACATCAAACATTATGTATGTGTAGATAAATTGTTGGTTGCGGCATCTGTCTGGTTTGTCTCACTTCCTGTTTGGCACATCCTAATCAGTAAGCAAACAGTTAAACACCTGCAACCAACAAATGTGTGAGTGCAATGTGCAGAGGATTATGTTATTGGGACAACAACCAATGCAATCAGTAAAACTATTTAAGGAGAGAAAAATAATTCACAGGGTATTTTATTGCATCTTTTAGGCAAATTGTTATTGTTGTAGTTGTTACTGTAGTTATTGTATCTGTGTTTATCTATCTTGCTTCAAGAAACTCAGAATTTCACAAATACATCCTTGTCAATGTATTGTCGAAGGCTTTCATGGCTGGAATCACTGGGTTGTTGTAGATTTTTTTCGGGCTATATGGCCATGTTCTAGAGGCATTTTCTCCTGACGTTTCACCTGCATCTATGGCAAGCATCCTCAGTTTTATACTTGGAACAACCTTGCAAGATATGTTAGGCTGAGGAATAATGTCCTGCCTCAGTACGTTGGAATGTGTGTTTTTTGACTAAGCCATGATTTTAAGTCTTCTTACTCTAGCTCCAACGCATTAGTTCTTACACAGTTCTGGTGTTCTCTAGATATGAGATGTCCTCAGTGGAAGAGAAATCAGAAGAAATATGAGATACAATGCCAACGGTTGTGGCCTGCCTAGAACTATTGCTGGCTTCTTGTCTATATATCAATAGTTGTTTGTCATTTTCGTCTGTAGCAAACAGTAAAATAATGGATATGGTTTTTTTGATGTTGTTGAATAGCTATTCCCATGATCCTTTGCTCAAATATTCTAACATGTACTGGGGGTGTAAATTGTCATAAATTCCATTGTTATAGGATAGAATGAATACTTTTGCAAATTTTCTCCATTTGCAAGAAAGTCATTAAAAATGTATAGTTTTCAAGAATTTTTCATGGTTCTGAAATTCTTTCCAAAACAAATGAGTTATTTTTTTTCTGTGTAGAAAATGGCATTTCCATGCAGAAACCTTTTCATGCTCAGGAAACTTGTTTTCTACTCAAAAAGTTCTGTTTTGTTTACAAATATTCATATTCTTTTTTTAACTGATGTAAGTCCTGAATTCTGAAGATCCTCATCTCTCTAGTATTCTCCTTACAGTAGTATTTGTATATTATTCTAATAATTTGTGTGCTTAGAAGGTACCACTGAAAACAAAGGCAGAAGAAGAGAATGTGGGATTTTTGCTCAGAGTTCTGCTGGTTTTTTTTATACCTGCAGTATGGATACATAAAGGGGGTTTAAGAATGTGTCACATTTGCCGTGTAAGTGTCAGTTCACCTCTTAGAGACTGTGTGTCTTCAGTTTTATTGAGGCTCCAGTACCAATTTAAAAGAAAAGCACAATTTGAGTATGTGTTTGTATATGTTTTCAAGTCAGCTCTTATTTATGGTGACCCCATGAACTTCATTGTATTTTCTTAGGAAACGAGTACTCAGAAATGGTTTTGTGAGTTCCTTCCTCTAAAATAAAGTCTACAAAACCTTGTAGTCATTGCCCAAAAATGGCACACACAATGAAGGACAAGTCCATGGTTGCCTTTTTTTGTCTTTAGGATTTCTTCTCTGTATTTATGTTTCCTTTTCCACATTTTCTGCTTTTCCTTGCCCTTCTCCCAACCTTTGGGGAGGAATGGCTTCTGAAAAGATTACCAAGAGAAGTCAGTAAAAGCTCTTTCTTCACTGTAGCTATAATAAATACCAGCTCATTAATTCTCATCTACTTTTCATAGGCAGGTCTTCTCCTAAAGATATTGTGCAGAAATATTATTTCATCCATTCTCTTTTGTTTGCTTTTAACCCAAGGTATTCTAGTTTTTGCCCCACAGAACCAATAGTATTTCACTCAAGAAATATTAAGTACCTGTTCCTAAAATGGTGCCTCCTGTGCCTTGTGAATCATCACATACACCAGCAGGTGGCACATGTTATCTTCGAAAATATGTAGTTGCTGACAAAATGAATTTTGAACAAACATAAAGATAACTGTGTGCAGCAAAATACAGCAAAATCCACAAAAGAGTGATACCTTTATTGGCCAACAAAATGCAGAAAATGTGTAATGGTGACATTCAAACCTCTACTGGCTTCTTCATCAGGCAAAGGAGAAGAAAAATTATGATGTTAAGGTCACAGGCCTATACTTTGTCCCAGATGTTACCTCTCTTGTTCATTCAGATCTGGCAGGATCTTGATGCAGGCAGAGCTCACCCCCCCTTCTTGGCCATTTGGGGACTGGGCAAAAAAGGAAATAAAAGACAGATAATAAAAATGTAACTACATTTAAATGCATTAGCAATACAAAAGTGACACCTGAAGATCAGTGCTGCTCTCGTCTTGTGTCATTTTGGAAGCATGGTCCAAAACATAACTTTTTCTTTTCAGAAAGAAGAAATAATAGAGGAAAGAAATTGAGATTTTCCTAAAATGTTCTTAACTTCTTTGGTTATGCATTGCTTGATGAATTTCTTCTAGAAAAATGGATGAAATTACAGTCCAACTGTTATGAGCTGATCACAAGTTGGTTTTATTATGTTTCCTAAAATACTCAGTATCTGATAGAAATGAATCCATAATTCATAATTAATTTATAAACTATAGCTAATGTCTTCCTTGTATGTTATTGGGACTCTTGCTTCACCAGCTTCAGCACTGTACTTGAAAACATCCCAGATTTCTTGTTCTGCCCTAGTTTAGTTTTCAACAGGAATCAAGAGGTATATTTCTGGGTTTAGGAAAAAGCGAATTTTGATACAGTATTGAAATGCTACATCACCATCAGTATTAGTATTTCCCTCATTATTGTGGGCTTTGGCATTAAGTTGTGCCATGTGATCTATATGTCTGTATATTTTTCATTTTGTACATTATAACTTATAAGATCTGGAAAACAGAAGTATCCATTTCATGTTCTCATGTCATGAATATATTAGTTAATGCCATAAAATGCTCCCCAAACATAGACAGACAGGCACCTACCTGACCTTGCATGTCTTTTGAGACAAATTCTGAAGGATGTGATTAGATTCTTTGTCATAAGCCATAGTGAAGTTGTTTTTCTACTGATTGCCTATGGCTTCATCTGAATAGTGAGTTCTGGAAAAAACATATGTGAGAAAAGTTCAACAATTTAATGTGTAAGGTGGTATACTGCATTTCTATTCCATTGTGGTTGTGATGGTACAAGCTTGCTTCGGGAATAGCTTTTTAAGCTTGTGTGGAATATTTTCTATCTCAGTAAGGTCGCATATATTAGGTCAGGGGTCCCCAAACTAAGGTCCGGGGGCCGAATACGGCCCTCCAAGGTCATTTACCCAGCCCTCACTCAGGGTCAACCTAAGTCTGAAAGGACTTGAAAGCACACAACAACAATCCTATCTCATCAGCCAAAAGCAGGCCTACACTTCCCACTGAAATACTAATAAGTTTATATTTGTTAAAATTGTTCTTCATTTTAATTATTGTATTGTTTTAAAGTGTGTGTTTGCACTACAAATAAGATATGTGCAGTTACTCATAAGAATTCTTTTTTTTTTCTTCAAATTATAATCCGGCCCTCCAACAGTGTGACCTGGCCCTCTGTTTAAAAAGTTTGAGGACCCCTGTATTAGGTGCTGCTCGACATAGCCAAAACGTCTGCCACTAGAACAAGTTAGTTTTTATTCTGCCAATTCTCCCATTGCAAAAGCTTTAGTTTTGTAAAATGTCACAGTGTCACATTGACCATAACATGCCACTGTATTAACTGATAGCAAAAAGCATGGCAACTAAGCCCGTGATCCTCAGAACTAGTGGATGGATAAGTGGATAACATGCTACAGAGGTTTGTGGATTAATGTTAGCACCTATGTAACAATGACAACATTGAATAGGCTTACACATCCATGGAAATAATTAAACCATATGATTCAGATATTTACCAGAGCGGCAGATTTCTTTTTCTTTGAACAGTTCTGTTTTCTGTGTCATCCCTTCAGTACTTGAAATTATAAAAGCAGCCCCTCAAACTGAAAATGTACACTATTCCGAAGTTCACCTGGTGTTCTCAAATGTTTAGTTTTTATCATTAAACAAGTTCGATGGGGTAATAAATGAGAAAAGATTAGAACTGGAGTAAAACAGCACTAATAATAACCCAATCTAATCAAGGGGAAAGTGATTGCAAGTTTATTCTGCACTGTCTGTTGATATTGCAGAGACTGAGCTGTACCTTTGTCTTTGGCCCATTATTGTTGTTGTTGTTGTTGTTGTTGTTATGATTATTTATATTCTGCTTTTTTCCATAAGGAGACTCAAAGCGGCTAACATTAATTTGTCAATGAAATTACATGCCTCCCCCCCACACACACACACACACAACAAAACAAGACATCCATCCCTCCACACCCCCACCAGCATTACAATACAATTTAAAATATACAAATATTAAATCAGTAATATTTAAACATCATTAGTATTAAAAACAATTCAGATTAAATCCATTACTTTCTTTGATTGTGCTTTGCCTGCCTGGCAGGGGGTTGGACTAGATGGCCCATGTGTTCTCTTCCAATTCTAGGATTTATAGTTGCCTTCTCTATTGCTTGCATATCCTTTTAAGTCCCATTTCTTCACTCTATATGCTATCTCTGAAACTTTGTTCAAGTATTGATGTCCTTGCTTTCAGTAACCTGTGGATGGCATTCCACTGTCGTCTGTATGTATGTCATCCTAAAGTTTGAAAATCTTGTAACAAATTAGCTCCTTGCCCGCCTCCACAAAAATATGTTTAAATCCAACATTTTTAGTTCCTTCCCAAAGACAAGGAAATAAAATGTTTTCTCACAGACCATGAACTAGCTAAATTCATTGCCCACAACAGCTGGCATCCCATTCAGTAGTTGTGAAATCATATACTAGACTTGCAGTCTTGCAACTGCTGATTATTTAAATTCATGGAACCTAACAACTGAATGCGATCTTCAGAATCCACATTTTTAGCCCAGTGAGAGGGTTATTGAGATTTTGCAGATCAGGGTGCTGGGAAATGATATCTTGGGGTACCTTGAGATAAGCAATTGCAACAGGATTCCCAACAGGTGTCCAGTTGCTAATTCTCAATGACACCTGTGATAGAGAGGATGCCATAGATTTCCCTTGATTGGCAGCACCATGAAAACCCTTCTATTGAAGTGCTGCAAGGCTAACAAGAAAGTTTTTGGGGGTGGTGATATCATGAGGCATAGCTAAAACAACAGCTTCACCATCATAGCTACCTCATCTAACAATGCAGAATTTCATTCATCAATTGATATGATTAACTGGTCAGCCATTTGGGGGCTACTAGGAGCACTCCCCCAAATTTGGGGGATGAATATGCAATGTAGGAAAAATGGAAGAGTGGCTCACTAAATCCCATCAATAATTGTTTCAGCATCTCCCCAAGCTCTAGTTTCCCAAGTTGTCTTTAGCACTATCATCACTATCAATGTCTTATATTAGACTTCATGATGACCTGACAGCCAACATTTATTCTCCCCATCCCCAACTTAGAATAATATCCCATGTATCTCATAAATAGAGATTAAAGAAATACATGAAGGTATTTCAAAAATGGTCAAAAATACATTTTTCAATCATCAGGAGACACAGACAATGAGACGTTTGTAAAGTTTGTTTCCAAAGCTACCAAATTTTTAAAAACATGCAAGATGAGTTATAGGTGACAGCACATTGTTGGCTAGGAGTAGAATATTGTGTACAGATCAAAATTATCGAAATGTATCAAATTTCTTCATTATATAAGGCTTGGAAAATTGTATTTTATAGCAAAAAAATACATATAGAACCTTTTTATTTCTGTAAAACATTTTCAGACAGATTTGATACCTTTTAGAAACAAGCTTCGCATTTGGACTTGTGTGAATCTTAATAGTTCAAATCTGTTCAAATTTGGGGATTTGCACAGAAATACCTTGTGGGAAGATGTTCTGAACTACAAACTGTGCAATTTCAAATGCTTTCTCACATCTAGAAAGAAATGGTTCAGGTGACCCTGCTTCTTCTAAGAATGAAACTAGTGGAAAAAAACATCCCTTTGCTGCTTTGGACATTATTAGAGTATCGTGTTGCTTTCATTTGAAATATAACAATGGCTTACCAATATTTTAAAAACAGTGTATTGTACTTTTTTCTTCAAGTTTGGTACTTATTCATCTTCAAGTATATGATTTTTAACTGATGGCTTGATCAATATATACATTATAATAATAATTTAAGTTCGTCTTCTTTAACGGAGTGATTGCCCCAATAACTATTCTATTGAAACACATTAACAACCAAAAAATGTCCTACTAACTATTGTCCTACTGAAAGATGATGCAATTTTTGACAATCTCTGTCCACCTCTTTTTATATCTTTTTCTCTAGGTGGTTGTGAATGCCCTGGTAGGAGCTATACCATCAATCATGAATGTGCTTCTCGTTTGTCTTATATTCTGGCTAATTTTCAGCATCATGGGTGTGAACCTGTTCGCTGGCACATTTTACCATTGTGTCAACAGAACTAATGGAGCTATGCTTTCACCTAAGGAATTTCCATTTAAAAATGTTTGTGAAAGTAATAGTGATGTTGCCAGGTGGAAAAACGTGAAAGTAAATTATGATAATGTTGGAGCTGGATATCTTTCTCTACTTCAAGTTGTAAGTAACCATTAACTTAATGTTTGCAGTAAATTGGGAGTTGATATCAGTGGTGCGGTTTCACTGTTTTTCTTCACACAAAAAATCTTTTACTTGCATACATGCCAGTGTGATTGAACAGAACTTCTCTGTAACTACAACTCAGTTTGTATGCCTCGATTTGTATTAGCATTCCAATTAAATCAATGAGATTTATGTAAGATTCAGGATGTTTCAAAAGTCAGTATTTCAAGTCCATTGAATACTGTATGCAACTTTATCTAACAGAAGCTTGATAAATAATTTTAAAACTACTTGTTAACATCTTTTTTTAAAAAAATGCCCCTACCATATTTTATTGGGAGTAATAATAACATTTAATAACACTATTTATATTCTGCTCTATCTCCCCAAGGGGACTCAGAGCGGATTACAACATGCACAGATAGCTCAGTCATCCTATCAAACTGATTTCTTCAATGCTTGTGTGTAAAACATTCACATAAAGAAGGAAGAAGGAACTAGCTGCATCCTCAAATTCTCACATTCAACATGGTCATGTTAGTAACAGGTTAATTTTCAATTCTGAAAAATCAATTGAAAATGTCCCAAATGGCTGACAACCCACCATTTGGGACATTTTCAATTGATTTTTCAGAATTGTAACATTTTTTGTTAAATGAGAACTGTAACAAATTATTATTAAATAATGAGTAACAAATTAATTGTTATTAATTTCCAAGTTGTGGGTTTATCATCCTGCTGAGTGGTATGAAATAACCAGAGAAGTGTAAAACAATGTTATCTGCATCTACTGTAAGTCACTTCTCTCTGGAATGGAAAATTTGCACAAAGCTTTCATTTATTCCAATTTACTTGATTGATATTTATCATCTAGAAGTAACATGGACTTTGGCATCATTGTTAAGTTTAATATGTCTACATTTTTTATAGGCCACTTTTAAAGGATGGATGGATATAATGTATGCAGCTGTTGATTCAACGGGTGTAAGTACCTGATGATTTCTTTCTAAAATGACAAAACTTAAGGTGGTCATAATTGTGCTTTTTATATAACAATACTGTCTTTTCAATTTATATTATGATATTATTAAGACAATGTACTTGTGTTAAATCAAGAAATGAAGCCTCCAGATGTTGGGATTTTAGTGTCTTGTCTAGTTTGTGCTTGAAATTTTGTGTTCTAAGTATGTTCTAGATATGGGATATTCTGGGACTGGGAAGTCTTCTTCCTCATAACTAAGGAATAGAAAATAGCATTTTATTCAGGGCCAAGAGCTTCCCAGATCTGTTTCCACCTCAACTAGAAAGATAAGTGAACAACACTGACTCCTTAATCCTGCTTCTTTGACTATACTTTCCATTTTGTTTGCTCCCATACTTATTTCTCTCTTTTGTTTCTCTCCTCTTCCCCTTTTGATAATCAAAATATATAAAGTAGGAAGGGCATGTATAGAAAACTATTCCTCCAGCTCTTCCCTCCTCCACCCCTCTTCTGGAGAAGCGACACTCAGCAGTAGCTACACATATTGAATTTTTGCAGTATCCCTCTGTTTCATGCCATCTCTTATTCCCATAAAACATATTTGTGAACATCTACTTGTACTTATGGAATGCTTGAGTGAATCATCTGGTAGCCTCTTCAGAACATCCTGTGTGAGAGTGCTTCCACATTGGGCATTTATTGTGCAAATGCCCTGCCTAACATACGTGTTTAGTTTTCTGGGGATCCATATAACATATAACATACAACATATTCCATATACTGCAGCCTTTTATCAACCATGGTCACTAACTGGCCATGGAGGCATGCTTCAGTGCTGGAAATTAGGGGTGTGTGCATACCATTTTCAGTTCCCTTTTCAGCTCTTCCCCCCAAAATAAAGTTCCCAAAATCAGGAGGGGGGGGTGCCATTTTCATTCTGGTAAAATTTGGTCCATTGGTGCCAATGGGGAACTTTAGAGACTTGTTTCTCTATCATTTTTAGGGCTATCAAGCCTGTTAAGTTTCAGAACATTTCACCAATCTGCTGATTTTTGGGGATTTTTTTTAATTAACAGAACTTTTATAAAAAAAACTACAAGAGGTAGTTTTGGGAATTGAAATCCCAACCATCACATGCCACAAGGGGGGGAAGAGAATGGACACAGTCAACCAGGCCTGAGAACCAGAGAGAGAAAAACCCCAACTCCCATCATGCCCCAGAAAGGAGCATAGAGGCTCCTTCAGTGCCCATACTGCACAAAGTGCTGCTCGTGAGCCGTTCCAGTTTAAGCTTCTGATGAGTCCTGCCAGGTCTGTTTTTAGTGTTCCGGCAGCTAGATTGCCAAATTTTCCCAAATTGCCAAATGGGATTTTGCACACTCCTACTGAAAACATCTGTTATACTGAGAACAGAAAGGGATTCTTTGCAGAAAGTGCAGCTTTTCACCCTACCAGTATGATATAAGATCTTGTCTCGTGCCTTTTGAATGGTATCACAAGCAGTTGTCAGTCTGCAAGCACCCCATATTGCCACATAGCATGTGAATCACTGGATCCCTGCTGTTGTAATCTTGAAGCAATAGCAAGGATAAGAGTTGCTCATGTTACTGTTTTCCCAATTCCACCACAGGACATTTTCTCAGTATCCATGCAGGAATGCTGGTTATGTTTGAATACAGTAATTGTGTAAAATTTGAATTGTCAATGGAGGCATCTGTTTGTTGTTCAGTGTTTCTTTTGCATTTCTATATATGTGAACATCCCCAAGATGTTAGCTGGGAAATATGCAACCACCCCTGAAAGCTCACATTTAATATCTTGCCCTGTTTCTTGTTTTATAGGTGGGAAGGCAGCCCGAGTATGAGGCTAGCTGGTTTATGTATATGTACTTTGTCGTCTTCATCATATTTGGCTCATTCTTCACCTTGAATCTTTTCATTGGTGTCATCATTGATAATTTCAACCAACAAAAAAAGAAGATAAGTGTTCACATAATTCATCCATGCCTCATGTAGTGAGATTTTTCTCAGATAAATGACTGAGTTGTCATGGTTATCATGTCCATTCAGTAGTGAACATGATAATTTCCTAATGTAATGGCGTTTGGAAATGTTTGTCCCAAATTTTTAAAAAGTAAATATTTCATTTGCACATTTGGAAAAAACTATGCAATTTATGTGTATGGATGCACATATGCATGTATTTTGGTTTGTTAGACAATGAATGCTGGAAATCCATTTTAGATTTGCAATGTTTTTCCATACTTTCTTACACATAAAAGCTGTAATCGATCTTACATTCAGTCAAGATTATCACTAACATCATAGTTAGTGTCATAGGAATGCCAACTGAGTGGATTTCACCCACTATCCTTTCACATAATTGTGGTGTGTGTCCACATCCTGATGTTAGAGACATGCTCATCTCCCTTAACATTCTCTGGCCTGTGGAAACATGGGCTGGGGACATTGCCCCCAACCCATTTTAGCTCTCCAGACCTGCCCTATGGGTGATTTTTAATAAATATATTATGATGTTGGCAGTTTTATTTTAGGTTTGGTTTTATCTTGAAAGGTGTGTGTGGGGGGGGGGGGGGGATAGGCTCTGTGGCAGCTGCATTACACGCGGAGCTGATTCGACTTCAGGCCTATCTAAGCACTTAGGCTTGTCCCAGGACAGAACTGTCCATAACAGTTTACATAGTCATCCCATATTCCCCAAACTTGGGTGATCCAGGGACATGGCAGAGCACTTGCTATCTCCCTCCTGTTCTCATCATGGTGGCAGCCCACAGACACAACATAGCTAGTGGCCATCATCTGGAATGACATCAGCTGAGGCACAAAAGCAACTGGAGGAGAGAAAGGGAAAGAAGGGGACGATTCCTCCTTTCTCCCTCCCATGTGTCTCATTGGCGTTCCTGATGACAAGTGATGGAAACAAGCCATGTCATGAACAGAGAGCATTGCTATGACATGAACAGGATAAATAAAGGTGATAGTCCAGAGGTGCTGAACTTGTTACCACCACTGCTATGACCTGGTGGTAAAAACCATTCCAGGGCTGATCTGGAATTTGACATTCAGATTGGCCCTAGGATGGTATCCCATTATTCTATAGCATTGAGCCATGACAGTTGGAGTGGTGTCAAACTGCATTAATTCTACAGTGTAAATGCACCCTAAATCAATGAGTAAGTGGCATGGCTATTAGCATATTATCGTTAGATTTTTTTTAATGCTTCATTTTACATTTGTGTTGCTTACACTGAAGGACACATGCCAATGAAATACCCACAACTACATCCATTTACAAAGATCTTTTTGAGCTCTTTGTTGTCACTTTTTGTTCTGACCCACCTGAAGTAATTCGATGTTGTCTGCATAGCCATTTCACTTGTTACTAGACTATAAGGTTAAAAGGATAGACAGAAAAGTCAAATAGAGTAAAAAAACATGTCACTTAAATGTTAATGTTAAAACTTGCAAAACTAATCTTAAATTTTTCAGTTTGGGATTTTTTTCAGTGGAAAATGTTCATGTTTTGTGTACAGTTAATGGCATTTTCTGTGTGGAAAATAATGGTTCTGTGCAAAAATGCCACTTTTGAATACCATTTGCAAATTTTGTGCAGACTACAGCACAAACTGTGGATGTATTGTCTAATGCTTTTACAGCCGGAATCACTGGGGTGTTTTGTGGTTTCCGGACTGTATAGCTGTGTTCTAGCAGTGTTTTCTCCTGATGTTTCTCCTGCATCTGTGGCTGGCATCTTCAGATCCTCTGAAGATGCCAGCTACAGATGCAGGAGAAGCATCAGGAGAAAATGCTTCTAGAACATTACCATACTACCCGGAAACCACAAAACACCCCAAACCATGGATAGTCTTTAAAAACATGTGATTTCCAAACTGCTCTCTCATTAGGAAGAGTATTGGTAAAATTAGCTACTGCTTCATTAAGAAGAAAATTATTTTAAAAATTAAATCCCAAAAGAATGCTAACTTTGCTGAGAGGGTTGTTGTAAGTTTTTTGGGCTGTACGGCCATGTTCTAGAAGCATTCTCTCCTGACATTTCACCTGCATCTGTGGCAGGCATCCTCAGAGGTTGTGAGGTCAGATAACAACCCTGTGATTCCGGCCATGAAAGCCTTTGACAATACTTTCCTGAGAGGCTTTGTCAAAAGGTCAAGTAAACAGAGTCTATAGGGCCATCTACATCCACAGGCTTGACAATAGTCTACCTCGATATCTATGAATTTAAATTTGTAACCAGATATTTTCTCCCTCCTATACTTAGGAGGACAAGACATCTTTATGACTGAAGAACAAAAGAAATACTACAATGCCATGAAAAAACTGGGGAATAAGAAACCACAAAAACCTATACCTAGGCCAGCGGTAAGAACATGTGCCCCTTTTGTACTTAAATGTGCAAACTGCATCATGTAGCTTGAAATGAGCGAACAAACAGAAGCAGATTTTCTTCAAAGTCTGAAAACCAATTTAGCAAGCAATAACTTTTTATGTCCCCAGGAAATAACATCCCATTCTTTCTCTATCTTTTCATCTCTAGAATAAAGTCCAAGGATTTATTTTTGATTTTGTAACACGACAAGCTTTTGACATTGGCATCATGAGTCTTATCTGTCTCAATATGGTCACCATGATGGTGGAAACAGATGATGAAAATGAATCTAAGAAAACTATCTTATACTGGATTAATGTGATTTTCATAGTCCTTTTCACTGGGGAGTTCCTCCTGAAGTTGATTGCACTCCGTTACTATTATTTCACTATTGGCTGGAATATATTTGACTTCGTGGTTGTCATACTCTCTATTATTGGTAAGAAATATTTCAATTTTAAGGCTCTTTTTACTAAAGAAAAATGTCTACTTAGTAAACTCATTAAGCTTAAAGTCAGTTTGATCCCTTTCAGTTTCAGTATTTAGTCAATATTCATAGCACTATGCAACCAGCCCTCAGTGTTCACTGGGATTGGGGGCAGGGGTCCCCTGTGAATGTGAAAAATCAGAAATACCTGAATTAAAAAACCACTTGGAGAGTTGTTCCACATTTTGCTTCAGGAACATCTCTCTAGCAATTTCTAGTTCTTCTAGCCTGACTATGTGGTCAATGTCCACCAGAGGCTGAGCATAGAATTGTATTGGAGGACCTAGATATTCTTAAAGAGGCAATGTCTCTAAAAATCTCTTAAGTCCTCTAACATGAGTAGAGATTCGTAGAGAACATTTTAAATGAAATTCATAAATAATCAAATCCACAAAAGTCAAAAACTGCAAATGTGTAGAGATGTCTGTCATTTAATAGGAACAGCATTGAATAGCTTTCATGTAACTTCAGAAAAATCTGGAATGGCCAAGTGGGAGAGGATATTGGTAAGCAAATGAGAGAAGAGGTAGTGGCAGTAAGCTAAGAACAAATAAAAATACTTCATGCATAACCATCATATATAATGAACGATGCTAGTTTAGATTTCCTTAACAACAAACATGTTTTTTAAAAAATATTGTATGTACTTGTGCAACCAAATTAGTCAAAATGAGCATTGACATAATGCCGCAGTTGTTGAATGGCAAGAAAAAACTCCATAGATTAACTCTACTTTTTTTGGAACCAGCACTGAGGTTTAGCTATGAAGTAGTATTGTGTTGAGTTGTAGTGGCAGTGGAGTACAACTCAGTATATATGTAAATGACTATGGTCAAATTAAAGTAATTAATTGTTATTCAAAGATCCCCAAAGTAGTTCTTTTACATTAGGAGTAGTTTTCAAAAGTAACAGTTTGCCAACCTAACCTACAAAGCAAGTAGATCTTTACTATTTAGTTATTTTTAAAGAATACGTTAGCACTGTAAATCACTGGTCTGAATACAAAAATATTAATGATGAAAAGACTGTATGAAAATATTTGAAAAATACGGCAAAGCATGCGTTTCAGGTTCAGAAAACCTGAGAAGAACCTCCAATCAATTAGAATCTTTGCACTTTGTTCCTTATTCAGTGCAAAATTCACATGTGGTAATTTTGCTAATAAAGCAGCAATTTCTGCTAATGAAGCCACATTTTCTGCATGAAAAAATAATATTTCAGTGCATAAATCATAATTTTGTTTTCTGCACCATAAAAAGCTGTAATTAGGGATTCTCTCCATGTAAAATTCACACATGGTTGATTTTCATAGAGCGCAGCATTTTTCTGCCCAGAAACAGATTTTTAATTCAGAAATTAGTATTTCTGTTCTAAAATATTATTTTCCAATCAGAAAACACTATTTTCATCACAAAAATGCTTTTTTATGTGCAAATGACTATGGTCATATTTTAAAGAACAATGTCCATAGATAGCTTTGTTTCTATGTGGAATTAATGCAGGCCAACCATTTATATATTTTGCACAGAAGACCTGAATAGTCAATAGTTTTCAAACATGTGTTTTTACAGATTTTCACACTGCAGGAAGAAAATTCTATATCCCTTCAAAATTCACTGATCACCCTTTTCTCTTGTTGTCACCTCAACATCATCAAATGAACATAACCCAGCATTTAAGCTATATTCCTCCCCTGCTTAGTGAGGCCATAACCCATAACTATAAAAATATCCCTCATTAAGCCACATGGGAATGCAATAAGAAACTAAGTACACTTAAGTAGTTATTTATTTATACCCCATTCTATATTTTAGAAAACTTGGGTTCGCTTACAAACATCAAAAATAGTTACAGGCAAACTCTGGCCAGTGTTTTTAGGAGATAGTACCACTGTCTGGCCCTCATCCAATCTATTGTTCATTTCAGGCATATTGCTTATGTGGGTGCCTTCCATTCATTCCTTAACTATATTGACCCATGAATTTGATAGTTTTCCTAGACAAGGAACACTCCGATGTGACTTTATCAGTTTCTTCCTCTGAAATATAGACTCCTGCAGCTGTATCAATTGGCAGTCTCTCATCTGAGTACTAGCCAATATGATCTTGTTTAGCCTCCAAGATCAGATGGGATCTGGTGCTTTTAGGGAATCCAGACCCCCAAACAAAATCATTTGTCCCAGAAGTGAGAGAGACAGTTAGACGTCTCACCTGGCATTCTGTTCTAACCTTCTCACCAGATATCAAATATGAATTCATATGTAATAACATTTTTGTTTTATCTTGCAATACTTTTTTACAGGTATGTTCCTAGCAGACCTCATTGAGCAATACTTTGTGTCGCCCACCTTGTTCCGCGTGATCCGACTTGCCAGGATCGGCCGGATCCTGCGTCTCATCAAGGGGGCTAAAGGGATCCGGACTCTGCTCTTTGCCTTGATGATGTCTCTCCCTGCCTTATTCAACATTGGCCTCCTCCTTTTCCTCGTCATGTTCATCTATGCTATATTTGGAATGTCCCAATTTGCCTATGTTAAAAAAGAAGTTGGCATTGATGACATGTTTAATTTTGAAACTTTTCCAAACAGCATGATCTGCCTCTTTCAAATTACTACCTCTGCTGGCTGGGCAGAGTTGTTATCACCCATTCTTAACAGTGGGCCACCAGACTGTAATCCTAACCTGGTTCACGCAGGGAGTTCAGTCAAAGGAGACTGCGGCAACCCTTCTGTTGGGATTTTCTTCTTTGTCAGCTATATCATCATATCTTTCTTGGTGGTTGTAAACATGTATATTGCTGTCATCCTGGAGAATTTCAGTGTTGCTACAGAAGAAAGTGCTGAGCCTTTAGATGAGGATGATTTTGAGATGTTCTATGAGGTCTGGGAAAAGTTTGATCCGGATGCCACCCAGTTCATAGAATACCACCAGCTGTTTGATTTTGCTGCTTCTCTGGATCCTCCTCTTCTAATACCCAAACCAAACCATGACCAACTTATAGCAATGGATCTTCCCATGGTAAGTGGGGACAGGATTCACTGCCTTGACATCTTGTTTGCCTTTACAAAGCGTGTTTTAGGAGAAAGCGAGGAAATGGATTTACTCAGAGTACAAATGGAAGAACGGTTTATGAAAGCTAACCCATCAAAGAAGTCCTATGAACCAATTACCACAACAATGAAACGAAAATTAGAGGAGGACTCTGCTAAAGTAATTCAGAGAGCATTCAGGTCTTACCAGTTGAGAAAGCCAGTACGCAATACCACTTTCATATATGATAATGACGATGGTTTTCCTGCCCAAAAGAACATGTTGGCTGATAAATTCAGTTTGAACTTGGCTTTGGAAAAAGCAGAACAGAGCTCTTCCTCCACAACATCGCCTCCTTCATATGACAGTGTGACAAAGACAGATAAATATGAACAAGAAAAGTCAGAAAAAGAAGAAAAGGACAAAGATTACAAGTACAGCAGAAATTATAAATAATTCTGACTGCAGCAATTTGTTTACAGCTTAAGGAAGAAGCACTACTCCCAGCAGGAGCTGTGCTAAAAGTTTATGCCAAACTAACTATTTCTACAATTATCAAATACACACATCTGTACATATGTGTGTATATATCTAAGAACAGTACCTGAAGAGCAATTGTCATCATACTGTCAAATGGGTAGTACCGTAAGAGACTAATGAGGGCAATGCCATTCTTCCTACTGTCTGGCACTAATGAAGAAAGATGCAGCAAATAATTACAGACTGTCAGAATGCATCCATACATGTATATACGTACGCCAACAAAATATCCCATGGCTGCAGCAATTGTATCCACTTTGTGCATCTTGAACAGTTCTGTGTCCTTTTTGCCAGAGATCTGTTGACGTGCTCATATCTGTGTTTACAGATTACTATTTATTACTATCTGGAGCAAAAGAAATGAAATGCTCTTTCCTCAGATATCTGTTTACATATGTTTCTCTCCTTTTGTCATTTTGTGAGCTTACCGAGCAGAAGCACACCAGAGCTTGGAAATACGTCCATTAAAAATTAACCCACGGTCCTAATTCCATAACGTTTTCTATCGTGATTTTAAAATTCATTATTTTAGTTGTTAAATGGTAGTGGTGATAATTTCTTAAGAACAATCAAGGTTTTATGGTTTTAATACTTCGGGAAGCATTTTTTGGGGTGACATTTTTGGTATATTTAGTAATTTTGGGAAGTTTTCTTAAAGTAACAAGTTTAAAATAATGAATTTTATTAACATTTTAATTAATGAATTTTCTTTGCCAATTTAATACTGTTTAATTTCATATGTTAGCATTAATGCTGATATTTCCAAGTTCCGAAACAGCAGAAAATCTTGTCTTTACCACAGAGCAACTGGGTTCTGGAGAGGGAATGGGATAGCTGGAACAGAGAAAGAAAGGAAAATTTTAACTCCCCTGTTTTGGCAGGGACAGCCTTAATTAGCCCTCTTTCGTTTCACTTTTTCAGTTGTGCTTAAACATCTCAATTTCTCTCTCCTTCCCCAACTCTTTCCCCTTTCCTTGATTGTTGCAATTTCTGCCAATTTAGTCCAATGTGCAAATTACCTTAGTGAGAGGAGTGGAAAAGACAGGATCCTGCCCTTCCCTATAGGCTCAGGTAAAAGCAAACTGCTGCAGCCTATCCTCATTTGTTTCCTCATTAATAACCAGTGCCTTGGTGAACCCACTATGATGTTTTTTGGTCACGTGTGTCCTGATTTTCACCTGTAAAATGTTGCAAGGTAAAGAACATTAAGGAATGTAGTAGTCTATTTTGCAGTTGCCATCTTGCTGAGACATTAAGGATCATATAAGTTGCACAGTCTTGGTTCAATCTTATTATGACCATTAAACAACACAAAACCTGCTCAGTCTTTTGGAGTTGAGGTATAAAACTTCCTTAGAACTCTAAGGAGCCTCATGGCACAATCTATTCCAAGGATGGATTTCCATGGCACTTTTCCTTTCCAAAACTATCTGAGATGGTTAGATTGGTTCCACCAACTTTATTGAGTGGCTTATCAAAGTTTCTCTGTGCTCTGCATTTTTTCTTTCCTTCAGGTCCTCAGACTCTTCAGTGTTGTAGATTTTTAGGAAGCTCAAAAGGACCATGGGTTTAACTAATCCAGTATTGCCAACAGTGGCTGGAAGTGGTTGTCTCAATGGAGATGACAGGGACTGAACCAAGGATCTTCTTTATGTAGAGCATGTATTTTACCACTACATTGTCCTGTCCAACTTGTGCATGTATGCATTTAGACACTTAATAGAGAAAGAGACTGTTCTGATCTGATATTTTTCTTCAGAAGAGAAACAATTGGGCAAGGATACCTATGAGATTTGATCTGTAATGACACAGAAATCACTTTTTAACATTCCACACATGTTTTCTTGTAAGTTTTTGTACATGCAGGCACTACATCAATCATCTCAACACATGTCTTAAATTATAGCATTGTATCATGAACTATATATACTCTTTCTTATTGGACAGGCAGTAAAGAGGTTTAAGTGGCCATCATCCCAAATACATAACAAATGTAACATTGAAATTGGAGGAAGCCTTCTTTCCAAATAGCATTTGGCTGTTGTTGTTATTATTATTAATTGCATCATTTATATTCTGCTCTTCTCACCCCAAAGGGGACTCAGGGCAGATCACAGAACACATACACAGCAAACATTCAGTGCTGTTAAACAGACAGAACAGACAACAGATAGAGGTATTATGTTGGCATTTTTCCCAACTTCGGCATCCTGGAGGTTGTACTCAATTCCGGCCACAGGGGGTGCTGTCATTCCATCATCTATAACAAAGAGCCTGGATCACAGACTTCCTCCTTCCTTTGATCACCGGCATTTTCTGGTATTTCTTTTATAGTTACACAGTGGAGGTAGTTCAACATTTCATAGTAGTTTAATGCAGATTTTTAAATACATATTTTAATGTACATATTCTTGTTCTTTGGTTGTTCTTTGGCAAATCAAACTGAGTCCTGTGGCACCTTAAAACCAATATATCTGTAGGTTACTCTTTCTTTCACTCATGAGCAGACAAGAGCATGAAGAGATGTACTTTGTAATTGGTGCATGAAGAACAATAGAAACAAAGGAGCAAAGTTTGGTTATCAGGGTTGTGTAACCAGAGGTATTGTAGGTATTTGTGTTTTGAAGCATCTGGATGAAGTTGTGCCTGCCTCTGCAATTTGTAGTGCATAAGTAAGCTTTAGTGGGGTGGATCCCCCTCCCATGTACACATGCATATTGTTCATGAATGATTGCTTCTTAAACCAAATCAACAAAATCACTGAACTGCATCTGTTGACAGTTTAATATGCTTTCTTTGGTACATTTGTGGGGGAAATTTCTCAAACCTGGACAAGGATCACAATCCAATGATATCAATCCCTCCAGGATATGAAAAGGTTAAAAAAGAAGGAATACATTTGGACGCAGATGTTCTGTCACATAGGGGTCTAAAGAGAATGACATCTAGAGAAAATGTGTGTGTGTAGCTATTTAACTTTGTCATGAAACAATTCTTGGCCATTGTCATCCTTCTGCAAAAATATTTTGGTCCACATTGGCAACTGCTCGTCTTAACAAAAAATAAAGTAGTATTGGTGTGCAAAGCAACAATTATCTGAGCACAAACTGGAAAAGTCACAGAATGTGTGAGGATTATTTTCATTGCACCAACACTATAACATTCTTCACAGGAAAATGAAGCATGGGCTGTGTGTATTCGACAAATCTATAGATTTGCATGGAAACATTCTCCCTCATACTAGGATAAGGACTAATAAGCTCACGTTTCCATCTCCTTTCTTGTTTATTTTCCTTCCTCACTTTTTACACCCTTTAAAAATAAAACAGAATTCTAGAATTCTAGTTGTATGTGTGTGGAAGGGGGAACACACACTTAAAATATGGAAGCTTAGTGTTTTGCTATGAAAGTGGTTACTTTTATATTCCCACTTATAACTTTGGCCAAATTGTTTTCTTTTTTAAATAAAGTTTTATTGAATTTTCACATAGAATATGTATAAAACCACCGCCTCATCCCCCGAATAGAGATTACAAGGGAAGTGGGAGAACATTAAAGTATAGTAAAGTAGGAAAAGTAAAGAGGTAGGAAAAGAGAGAAAAATTGTCCAAAAGAAAAAAAGGAAAAAATGTCCAAAAGAAAAAAGGAGAAAAAAACAAATATATATATCGACTTCCATTCTGCGTTTCTGCTTGTCATATTTTGGCGATCTCATCCAATTATATTAGTCAACTCTATTCCTTCTCAGGAAATGTTATTATTTTTCATACATTGAAAGAGGCCTATTACTATTATTACAATATCCTTTCATTATCTCCCTGCCTCTTTCCCTTTAAATATTTTTCAAAAAATGACCAATCTGTCTCTCTTATAGGATTTTCCGAACTTTTCTTCAACAAAAAAGTTAATTTGTCCATATCTTTAACTTCTTGTATTTTATTAATCCAATCTTCAAACTTAGATATGGTGTCCATTTTCCAAATCTTTGCATATATTATCCTTGCAGCGGTAACTATATAAGTGAATAAAATGTCTTTATTTAGGTCCAGGGTAATATCCGAGTCAGTAATGTTAAGTAAGTAATACTCTGGTTTTTTTGGGAAGGAGATTCCCAATATTTTTTTGCGTTTCCTCATGAATGGTCTTCCAATATTCTACAAGTCCACCACATATGAAAAAAACTAATTGTTTTTCAAAAATATTTTGCATTGTTAGCAAATTACCTTAAATTAACAAAATGATTGAGTGTTTTGTGCACTTACAAAAAAAATAGAAGTGGCAATAATTTAAGTGGGTAAGGTGAAAAGGAAGAGAGCTAGTAAAGAAAGGATATAAATGGAATAATGAATATCTCTCACATAGGGTAGGGGTGCTTCTTTATGGGTCCTTCTAGACAGGCCTTATACCCCAGGAATTGATTCCAGGTTTTATGGTTTAAATTGGATTATATGAATCTCCACTGCCAGAAAATCTGGGATAAACAGAAAATTTGGTATCAGATCTTGGGATATAGGGCCTGTCTGGAAGGGCCCTAATATTACTCCTTTTGGTAAACATGCATGCATCAGTTAGGAAAGGGAAAGGAACTCATTGCTTCACAACTTATATGTAAACCAGACCAGTTAATCAAAAAATTGGGTTGTTGTAGGTTTTTCGGGCTATATGGCCATGTTCTAGAAGCATTCTCTCCTGACGTTTTGTCTGCATCTATGGCAAGCATCCTCCTTCGACAATACATTAACCAACAAATTGTTTTAGACTTAGATGATTAATTAACTGAAGATTTATTTAAGTGGCAGCCCTACATGGAAACTTTCATTTTCATTAGATAATACTAGATCAATTTGCCATTTTCCCGGTTTTTCCCTTTTCTTGGAAAATATAACTTTTGGAAGCAGACTCTGTATACACAAAGCTGTTCACATACCACACTATTTTTGACAGCACAGCTTGGAATTCATTTGGTACACCAACTTGGTGATTTCCTGTTATTGGAAGAATAGATTGCCCATTGGTTTAATTTGCTCTGCTACACCTTTACATTGTGTAATGTAGGAAGGTATGTATCTATGATAGAAAGAAAATTGTGGAGAGTTATATTGGTTTGATGCTTCTTTTTGTCATTTTCAATGACTTTGCATGGTGCAAAACTATAACAAGAAAGGTGTGCTCTAGCCCAATGAAATTGGTTTTAAGATGTACTTTTATACAACTTTTTATATAAAGCGCATTTTATATTACCTTTTAAGTCCCCTTATTTGATCAGTTTGCAGTTATAATGCAAATTTCAATTTCAGTCTTGGCTCTACCTGTTTCTTTGGGTGTGTATATTTTATATCACATTATACTATTTAATACGATGGGATGGGAGACCAGATTGTTCTTGTGAAGATATTTGACACTTTTTGGATCTTATTACTATTTGAAGAGAAAACAGATGAACAAATCTGAGTATAAAATTGGGGACTATGTGTCACTTGTATCTCTCTGCATGGAATGATTGTTGTTAGTGACAAAACAACACAGCATCCCTTTTTGTCATTGTTGTTCACCGGACACTACTAACATTAAATATTGGCCTCCTAATGCACTGGCCCCTTTGCCTGCTGCAGTATTTTACTAACATTAAACCTTCTTGATCATTAGAGCTGTCATATGTTTGACCAGCAGCCAGATAATTATATAATCTGTAATTATGTTTCCTCTTTCCACCAAAACAAAGATGTCACATTAAAAGCAATGGTATCAGGGTGTTTTGAGTTTTGTTTGTGTCTTAAGAAAGGGAAAAGGTGAAATTATTCTTTTATTTATATATATTGAATTGCATGTAGAAAAAAA